CATGACCCGCTATGACACTCTAACTTATATTACTCTATAAAAAAAATCGACGAATCTCGACTAGCTTAGATGGGGATGTGTATTCTTTTTTATTCAAGAGGCTAATGAAATAAAACTTCGACCTACGTAAAAGTGAATATTTTCTTTATGAAATCGGCTGATATGATGCCCGGAAGGCAGTAAATTGATATTAGAAGCAGCAAATGGTCATGGTTGATTATTTATTAATGTGCAGATTTGACCTAATTACTAAAAAAGTAAACTCCAAGGGATCATTAATCCGATATTGTTTTATATCTCTTGCTTGTGTAACACTGATCTCAAAATTCTTTGCATCTATGCAAGATTGGCTTATCTGTTTGCTATTCGGGTAGTAGTTATCGCATTTTCGATTATCGATAATTCTATGTAAGAAAGTTAAACTTCACTCGTGATTTTGATTTTTGCACAATGCTGAAATTTTGAACAAATGGATGTTAAAGACTTTTGATATTACGTTAGTACAATATCAAACTTGACTTTCAAATGTTCTTGTTTCAAATGGCATACCACTAATGGATAAGAGTACAGTAGAGTTTTTCAAAGAAGCAACCAAGTCGGCGATACTTGAGCGTAGGAGTAGCACGTCAAACGTAAGAACGTTCTTAAAATGTGTGACTTTTATTAAAAGGAAACTATTGCATGATATCGCCTGTTAAAAATAGATGTTGTTTACCTCCTGTATGGAGTCATTGCCTAAATACGAATTATTATAACCCGTGTTGAAAATGATTGAGTACTGACATTATGGTAAATGCAGAGTTTTTACCCCCCCATTATCTATGCTTTTAATTTCTGCAATAACATTATATATATATATATATATATATATATATATATATATATATATATATATATATATATATATATATATATATATATATATATATATATATATATATATATGCCTTAAATATAGCGGAAAGCGGAGGTCGGAGAGAAATATCCTTGTGTGAAATGGGTCGGACTGGAACCAACCAATATCACCTTTATCATGCAAAACAGTTTGCAGTAAAGATGACTGTATTTTATGCAGAACTACAGGGATGTCATTCAGTTAATGATCAATGCACACAAAGATCAAGACAGCACGACTGAAGAACATGTGGAAGGTCTAAGTTTTGATTCATTTAAGAAGAGAGGTAAGATAGTTTACTCTGACAGAGCTTTGACTGGGGTGGGGAAGCATGCCAACGCACCAACTTCTTTGCTAAATTGCCTGAAAAATGTAATCACGAGTTTTAAGGTTTGTGGTAGGGATTAAATTTCCATTTGGTCAATATGTATGTGGCAAGACAATCGGACGGGCGGTGGTGTTTCGGATGCTCACGTGTAGACATCAACAGGATGAAAATAGCCTTTACATAATCAGGACACTTTTCTCGTTAGATGCATCCAATGAATTTCTCTCCGGAGCAATTGACACTGTTATAAGCTTAGAAGTTATAAAACTTGTACTGCAGGCGAAAAGATAATAATTTAGAACTTTATGTCCAGCATCCAGTCAAGACAGAGACAGGTTTCGAGTAAATATAACCATGTACTTTTTTGTTTCGAATATTGCTTTGAGACGAAATGAGGAAGCCTAGTAGATAGCGCACAAACTTTACATCTCGTTTACACAGAAAATGACGATGACATAAGCTACAATGTTCTATGAGGAAATACAACTAAATATCTTGTGACAATATAAATCCCCATCTCCATTACCTTGGTGTGGTCTGTTTAAATCATCATCATTAAATACACGAAGACTACACACTATGCCATTTTAAAATCAGGATCTGGCAAATTACGATGGCATAATTATCAAAATTAAAAAAGTTATTGGACATACCTTCGTAGCAGCCATAATGGTAAAGTTACAGTTAAGGCGAAAGATCTTGACTTCGAAATATTTTAATACATTACTTTGCTAGGAATGTCTTAATGGAATTATTCCTGATAATGGGGTTGTTGACAATTTAGATAACAATAAGTTAAATAATTTTGCAGATTTTCAACTTACGACTTTGTAGTTTTTATTTTGACAGTCAGAAGGTTTTCGTGATTGGCCTCAACAACGTTAATAGAAAATCATGTTGTTGCAAAAAAGGAAATTTGTTATTATCACTCGCTGTACGCAGTCAATTGTGATATTTGAATTAATACTGGGATTTCTAAAATATTGCTAGAACAATTACATTTTAATATATTAATCAACAAACAAAATGATGTAATAGATCACGATTTGATAAGAAGGCAATTTTGACATGCGATGTGTGCAGCAAAAGTATGACAATTGGTTTAATATATTTGATATGAAAAACAAAATTCCAACTTTTCATCATATAGCTAATGTTTGTATATATTGAAAGGGTACCCAAGAAATAATTCTGTATCATATCCATTCCATTTACCGTTTGTTTCTTTCTATTATTTTGTTTTAATATTCTTTCAAATCTTACGATCTATTGCTTTCCTTTTTAATTCAGATTCATAGACTCTAACATCTATGTTTATGCCTTTTGAATCTTTTGTTGGGGGCTTGTAGATTTTATATTTATTATTTACTAATTGTCTTCTGTCCAGTTTCGATGAATTAATGTTTTCAAATTTGTACTTTTATCAAATTATTTATCTATATTAGCATTTTTTTTTTAAAAACGCTTTATTACAAAGTTCTGTTCTGTTTCTGTTTCTTCGTCACAAACATACTTGTTTTTATAGTTTCTTAAAAAAACATGCTATGCTAATTCCAGTTTAATTTTTAAGATGTATTTCTCACACTTAACATGTAAACCCTTATTATGTTTACTTAATTGCTGCATGCCAACCAAATCGGCTCAGCATTTTGAATCTATTTTCTATTAACGCGATGTTGAATGACGTCATCACTTTTGTGAGAAAATGTTTTATGTTTGTGATACCGTGCAAGTGATAGGGCATAAACACACATCGTCTCTAGCTTGTAGTATCAATGACAATTAATATACTTACCTTTATGCATCTTGTGTTTCCACAAAATTTACTTTGTTATTTCTGCTACTCAGAATTTCATTGGTTCCAAACATTGATCCACTTTGGAATCAAAGATAAATTCACTTACTTTATTTCTTGTAGTGCATTCCTTATATTATTCAGCCTCTGTTAGAAAAGCAAAACAGTATATAATTAAAAACGCTACTACATGTGTATGGGAAAATATGAAACCCTTTTGTATTAGTAAATCTTCACTTCTAACGTAGCTTAGTACAGATCCGAAAAATTTACTAATTTTCCATACAAATACAGTAACCTACAAATATAACAAATCAAATCAGAGATAGAAGATTTCTATCGACATCATATTCACTAGAGTTTTGATGGTCAGACTGATGAATTGTGGTAACAAGTAGTAATTTATGTCCCAAGCAGATAAAAAAAATGATAGCACCGATAATACCATCCAAAGCAGGATGCAAAGTTTGGCAATTTATATGACCATTTGATGTTGATTCGATTAAGTGCTCTGGAAATGTCCGCGAACATGGAAATTAAAGGGTATATAATACAAACGTGACCATATAGTCGTCACCACCAGCGTTATTTCATCCAGTGATATACTCGAGGTCTTCTTGAGCAAACTCATTACCGCCTCCAGGTACTTGACCGTCCATGCCTACCAGCAATACCTAGAGTTTACACAATGACATGCATGTGGTAAACGTACACGGTAAAGTTGTTGAAATTGTGTAATAGGATAAACTTTCACACTTTGAATTCGAAAGGGACACAATATCGCCGTTGACTCGCCCCACCTAGACCGGAAAAAATATAAACATTTTCATGCATATAATTACTTCTGTTCATCGATAAAAATCTCTAAGATGCTTTTTGATAATGTTGGATTTTTAAGCCCTGAAACAATGTCTCGAGAAAGAGCACAACAATTTGGAATCCCAAGATGTAGAGCGTAATTGTTGTAGAAAAAGCTTATTCACATTGTTGGACACATGCAATTTCTCGAGAAAGAGCACAACAATTTGGAATCCCAAGATGTAGAGCGCAATTGTTGTAGAAAAAGCTTATTCACATTGTTGGACACATGCAATTTCTCGAGAAAGAGCACAACAATTTGGAATCCCAAGATGTAGAGCGTAATTGTTGGAGAAAAAGCTTATTCACATTGTTGGACACATGCAATTTCTCGAGAAAGAGCACAACAATTTGGAATCCCAAGATGTAGAGCGTATTATTGCAGAAAAAGCTTATTCACATTGTTGGACACATGCAATTTCTCGAGAAAGAGCACAACAATTTGGAATCCCAAGATGTAGAGCGTAATTGTTGCAGAAAAGCTTATTCACATTGTTGGACACATAATAAAGCACAATATCAGAGATAAACAAGTTTTCATTTACTTTGAATGAAAGCATCATTACAAGTTTGAAAGAAATTTTATCTGACATAATTTCACCAATGTCGTCCATTACAAGGTGTAGGAATATTAAAATGCTGATGATAATGAGTATCAACCCCACCGAATCAATAATGTATACTCGTTTTACATAAATTTAAACAACTTTATCATTTTAAAATAAACCACTATTTTTAATTTCAAAGTTTGTAGCTTTTAGTGCATTAGTTATATCTGTAAAGTGAAAATGTACAACAAATCAAAATGTATCTAGCGTAATAATAAACGTGGGACACACATTTATGCTTTCATGGATGTGACACTGGCAGAACTCTGATCACAATTATTTCGATTATATAGTCTTTTTTTTAGTACTGTACATTCTATTGTATCTAACTATTAATAAATCGTACGCTAATCTAAAATACCTTTAAAGATGAACCCACAGTGATGTTCTTGCAATCTTGATACAATCTCACATACAGTGACATCGCATAGTATGCAAAAACCCATGCACACTATTCAAAACGCCTTGTGTTCCAACATTTAATATAAAACGAAATGAATAGATTTTACCACTCCAGTGGCCTAGTGGTTAGAGCATCCGCTTTAGATGCGGGAAGTCGTACTGGGTTCGATCCCCAGCCGCGTTATACTAAAGACTTATAAAAATGGTACTAACAGGTGTCTCGCTTGGCACTCAGCATTAAGAAGTTAGTGCTAATGGTCGGCCTGGTTTCAGGTTAATGTGACGGTGGGACATCATGTCACATGTCTGCGGCATGATGCTCCACTGCTAGACATAACTATAAACTGCCACTCTGCAGACATCGTAGCGATATGACTGAAACATTATTGAAGTTAAGTTAAAAGTCCAAATCACACACACATATACAATGAGTAGGTTTAAAGAAAGGAGATTAAATACTAACAACATAACACGCCGCCTATTTATATATAATTGTGGCTCGACAGGATTAGTTGATCAGTAAAGTTTGATTTTAGAATAAAAGAATCTTTTGAGAGCTTATCCTAGCTGTAACTGAAAAAACACCAGACATTATTTAATTCATGGAATTTCAATACATTCACAGACCTGACTTTGTTACACACATTACTGATATTAGCGCCAGACTGGTGCGGAATTACAAGCTTAAAGGTGATGAATTCTCAAAGCTTTGTTTCAGACCAATTTTCTTTTTTCAATGAATGTTTTCAAACTTCATATTTTGTATTTTAATTGGCTTATTCCTACCTGAGATACATTAAATGTATTCGGGAGAATGTTAGGTAATATCTGTCATTCAAATCTCATTTTCTGTAATAATTTATGCACATATAGCTGGTCACCTTGACCTTTTACTCTTTTATTGTACAATATGACATTGTTGCTAATATGTTTCAATTTTAAATTGAAACAATATAAATGGTGACAGTAAAAATGATAACTCATGATTATATAATTGTATTTTAATAATTTTTTTTTTAGTTTTTATAAAAGAAGTTAAATCGCCTCCAGTAGTCTAAGTGGTTGGAGTGTCCACTTCGGATGCGGGAGGTCGTGGGTTAGAATCCAGGATGAATCATACCAAAGATTTATAAAAATGGTTCTAACTGCTGCCTTGTTAGCCGTTCAGCATTAAGAGGTTAGTATTAAGACTGGTCGGTCTGGTGTCAGGATAATGTGACTGGGTCAATGGGTGGGACATCATCCAAAATGTTTGTGATATGATGAGCCAGTGCTAGACATCACAATCAAGTTCCACACTACAAACTACTAAATGACTGAAAAACTGTTAAAGCTTCATTAACAATCCAAGTCTACATAAACACACACACACACACACACTTAAATGAAACTAAAATGTTGCCAGAAATGCATCATTGCTATTATTGGTGAAATGGACTTGCGAAACAATTTAATATTCACTAATGTAATCTTTTACAAGCAGAACAATAAGTACTGTTATTTATTTACCTAATTCTAGGTGAGTCAAGTAATTCTAACCCGAGTATGGACTCACTCATAATACTAATAATATGGAAAAATGGGAACCGGTGTATGTATATATGTATGTATGTATGTATGTATGTATGTATGTATGTATGTATGTATGTATGTATGTATGTATGTATGTATGTATGTATGTATGTATGTATGTATGTATGTATGTATGTATGTATGTATGTATGTATGTATGTATGTATGTATGTATGTATGTATGCATGCATGCATGTATGTATGTATGTATGTAATAATATTACTTTTGTGACCTTAACCGAGCAGTAACTGAGAAAATAGACATTTCTTATTGAGGGGATTTCAATCTTTCAACAGACTTGTTACGAATATGTAATTAAATTGCTTGTATGTTGGTTTTAAATTCTGTTTTGTTTTATTTTTGTTTCATTATATTTTATTGTAATGAGAATTTGCATTGGATTTGAATCTCTTTTCAGAAAAAATCTCTTCTCTGTTTTGACCCGATTTGAACGTAAAAGGTATTACTTTGTCAGCATTTTTTGCTCCACCTTGGTTGAGACGTTTTGTAAACACTAAGCGAAAATGATTGGCTATTACCAAGGTCATGTTAAGTCCACGTGTTAGCTGAGTTGTAAACAGCCCATCCTTTTATTTTATTTCCAATGTGTGAATCTGAATCTTAGGGCCATTCTAGTGTATGTGACAAATGTGCGGTTTGATAATTAGGTGATCATGTAACCTATCACCAGTGTCGAAATGATATTTTAGTTGGGTTTAATACTCATGTCGTAGTGAAATTTATTCAGTCTTCTTATTCCTACATTTTAGAGCTCAAGGTGTTTTGTTTTAAATCGCTGATGCAAGTTTGTTTTGAAGTTCATCTGTTTCTTTTTGGATTTAGTAATTCATTTTCTCTGGAAAACAAAACAAGTGCTCTTTTCATAAAATTCTGTGACAAAAGCATTCAGTGGAAATCTATTCTGGAATTCTAAACAGAACATTATAAATTGTGTTTAAACTAAGAACTGTTGCCTTCAGTACAACAACCTCATCTGATGTCATCGTCTTCCATATTGGAACTTTACAGAGATTTGAAACCTGGATTCAATTAGAACTGTTTAGTGATTGGACTTATATTTTTCTATTCTAGGATTCATTTGTAGATGATATTGACAAACCTTAAGTCATATTTTATATTTTTACCTCGTCATCTAGGGAAATAAATAATTTTGATAAAATTTACAAAGCTTCACTCTTTCCTTATGTTACTTTGAACAAGCCTATACGTGACAGACTTGAGTTTGTAACACTCATTACTAAAATTAGTCCCTAATTCTTTGGTGTGGAAATGAAAGCACGTTTAAAACACACCTAGATCCAGAAAATGACGCAGCTCATGTGGTTTTCTCAGCAGATACTCTCTCATCTGGGATGCATCTATTTGCGAGTTCTTTAACTACTCTCATGCGAGTTATTCACATACAAATTATTATGTTTGATATATGGTGTAATGTAGATAAAGAGCATCTTATTGAAAACCATGCATTGGACATAACCGACAAATAAAGCCCAGAACGACCAGGTTCGCTTGTGTCCATATCACCACAGAATGAGGTTGCAACAATGCTTTATGCCAAAATGCATGACCGCTTTGGCTATAGTACTCGACGTTACCATTAAGGTTCAGTACGTTACAAGACTTAATAGATTCCAAATATCCTTCTGGTTTTGGAGTATCTAATACACTAAAACTTTTAAAAGGCAAAAAAAGCTCCACTAGCTAAAACAACACTAAGCTGCTAAATAACTATATTATTTAGCTGTTTCTAAGACGTCTGGGGTGTACTTGTGTCTCAAATAGATATTTGTTTGCACTTAAAAAGAAACGTTAACACTAAGTCAAGCCTTCTTTATTGTTCATAAGAGCATTCGTGTGTCCTTTGCATACAAGTTTTAGCAATAAACTTATCAGTGCCTCTTAAAATTAAGGGTATCTTTTACAGAGGTTTGAAAACTAATAATGTTTTAATGGAACATGATAATTTAACAATTTTATTAGAGCAAAAAAGTTTTAGATGTGAGCTATGTTAATTTCTGTAGTGTTCTGAAAATTGCCGAATCCTAAATGAACAGAACAAAATGTAAATATGGTGTAGATATATAACATTCGCCATTTAAAATATATGTACAGTGCACATACTTTAGGAAATTTTAGACACGGAATACAAATTTATGAACACTACAAAGGGGCATAATCATGTCATAAATATTGAAACTGGGAACAGAGACACAATAGCAAAGTAAAGAAAATAGTTTACAAATATACTGATAATTACACAATATGATGGACATATTATTTTCATTATTTTTATGAACATTTCGAAGTCAAAATTGTTTAGTTATAATTCAAGATACAAGTAATCTACGTAATAATTAATATGACCAAAGTCTAGAAAATATTAATAATGACATTTTTCTGCATGATTTTGTCACGATATAATTGATATTTACACAAGAATGTTCTGGTAGGAAAATAGTTTTTATTTAATAATATTTTCCATATGTATTATTGTCATATTGCTATGTTTTAGGTTTATAAAGCTTCTAGCCTTAAGTACATTCCGTTGACTGGCTTGGTAAATACTCCTTTGTCAAGTTTCGGCGGGATCTGAAAATAACAGGATGTCCTTATTTTACAATGAATGCAATGCAATAGAGCCTCTTAATAGTAATAATAAAAGGAAGGAGAACTAGTCAATGTGTAGGTGATTAATCCTATATCTGATAATAAGTTTCTGTATTTTCAAAACAATTATCCGGATGGAACTAATTTTGAAATTTTTAATGTCTTGAGATTCCAAAGCATCTGCTATCTGTAAGTTATTTTAATTTTATGATCATAATTTGTGAATAAGCTCTCCTCATTTTCAATTATCATAAATTTACAAGAACGTAATAATGAATATTTACTATACTCTCATGTGATAACACTGGCAGCATTAATAATGTTTTAAGTAGTCAAATGCTCAATCCAAATGAACTTTAGGAAATCGACTTTCATTATGCAATCCACTTCGGTTTAGTAAAACAGTTGTAGATAGTATTTGGGTAAAGTCTGTAAGTAGTTATTGATCCTTTAAACTTATTTATACCAGCTTTAGGTATATAATTATTGTTTAGTTCAATCACATAGAAAATAGCCTTTTTCACACTGTAACAAAAGAAAAGAAATGATCATGACATTGTACCTCCGTGTCAGGTGCTGTCTGAAAGCGGAAGTTCTGGACCATGCCAACAATCGCCATCTTTGCTTGTAGTAAGGCCAGCCTCATACCAATGCAGTTTCTGGGCCCGGCCCCAAACGGCAGGAATGTGAATGGTTTGATGTTATCCTTGTTTTCAGGAGAAAACCTTATTAAATTATAAAAAGATCTTAGGAATCAGTAATATGATTAAGAATTAATCAAAACAATATACTCAAGAATTTACCATAACTTTCCCTTACCCAATGTATTGTTGTCTTAAATTTGTCAAACTGGTCATTTAAAGAATCCCCCCCCAATTGATGACTATTTTGTTTTCAAATTAATTTTTATAAATAATACAATAAATATACTCATAAATGTGAAGAAAGACATCAATATAAATAGTAGGCAGAAATGTGGA